TCTTAATTTTTGTAACACACGATGAACATGAAATTTATGTTCTTCTAGATTTTTAGAATAGATCAAGATGTCGTATATATAACAGACCACAAAATCGTCCAAAAACTCTCAAAAAACATCATTCATTCGATGTTGAAAAGCTGCTGGTGCATTTGTAAGTCCAAAAGGCATGACGTTGTATTCAAAATGTTCATACCTAGTTCGAAACACAGTCTTCCATTCATCTCTTTCTTTGATGCATACTAGATTGTATGCTCTCCGGAGATCTATTTTTCTATAGATCTTAGCTTGATTCAACTGATCAAGAGGTCCAGATATCAAAGGTAGTGGATACCTATTTTTGATGGTAATCTTATTGAATCTTGGATAATCAACACACATCTGTAATGATTCATCTTTTTTCTTCACAAATAGAATTGGAGCTCCTGTCGGAGATTTAGAATGGCGTATAAAATTCTTGGTTAGATTTTCTTCAATATACTCCTTGAATTTAGTCAACTCATTTTGTGATAAACTGTAGATTGGTCCAAATGGCGTTTGTGCTCCTTCTTGAAGATCAATTGAGCAATCATAGGGATGATGTTCCGGAAGTGTATCTACATTCTTTTTTTCAAATACATCTTGAAATTCTTGATATTGGCTTGGAATGCCACTTGAAGTCTTTCTACCAATAGAAACAAGTGTGGCATAAATAATATATGGTGATTTTTTTATAGCAGCATACAAGAAAGCTTTTACACCTATAAACGTGGGTTTAATTGAATTAGACTTATGACTCTTTACTTGATTAATTACATTGTTAGTTATACTTTTAGAGAAAGTAGGAATTTGGAAAATCCAATCTATTTCAGGGTTGGATTTTTCTAATCATGATTAACCTAAAATGACTGGATTAGAAGGAGTTCTAATGATATTAAATACTACAAAACTATTATGACCATTGATTATTACTTCTATAGGAAGGATTTCATGAGTAATATCTCCAGAAGATAATGGACGACCATCTATGACTTCTACATGAACAGGTTTAGTTTTCTTTACTAAAGATATGCTATGTCTTTTGGTAAATTCTTCATCTAAGAAACATGCTGAGGCTCTTGAATCTAACAAGGCAAAGACTTTGTAATATTTAGGTCCTAAAATAACATTTAATATAAAATAAAGAGAGGGCTTTGAGGAGAGAATAGGACCTTTACTAGATATTGTGCAAGGTTTCAACCACACAGTCCCTATTGTAGCTAAACAAACTCGTTTTTTGACATATTGTCTTCTTTCACAGCCATACTCCTCATTTTGTAGTTGCGTTGTTTCTTTGGACAATGTTGAACAATGTGTTTTGGTTCTCGACAATATAAACATAATCCTTCTTAACGATGACGAGTCTTTTCTTGCTCAGTAAGAGGTTTGAAACGTACTGCATCAATTTGCATATCCTCTACTTCCGAATGTATGTGTTGAAGAGGTGTTGGTGTTGCCATTGAATTATAGTAACGTTGAGGTCCACTTGTACGGTTCTTAGATCGAAATTCAAGAAGGTGATTGTCGCACTTCACAACAAAGTCAATTGCTTGACTCAATGTTTGAGGATCAAGTAAGTTGAGCATTAATTTTTTTACCTCATATTGTAATCCGTAGAAAAATTGGCTAATAAGTGCAACATCATCCCACTTGATATCATTTGCAAGTTGTCAAAATTGTGAAGCATACAACGTTATTGATCGATTGTCTTATCATAAAATACGGATCTTATTGGTTGCAACATGAATTGTATCATGTTCTCCATACATGGATCAAAACTCCGCTAGAAAAGCCTCTAGATTATCCAATATTGGATCTCGTCATTCAAGAAAAGATGAAAACCACGATAGTGCTGAACTTGAAAGAAGCGTACTAATGAATCTAACTTGCAATCCTGGAGTTGGATAGCTTTGGGGTTGAAGTTCAATCACAAGTTGCACTTGATTGATAAATCCTTGAAACTTGGATCTGGTACCATCAAACTTCTTGGGTAGAACAATTCTTGGTTCTCTAACACTCGAAGGGCGTTCCACCATAGGAGAAAGGACATGATTTGGTGCAGATGTTGAAGTAGCTCCAAGCATTTCTATATCTTCACTTCTTGCCAATCTTATTGCTCATTGTGGTGGTAAATTGAGTTGATGCATCGCAAGCATTAACTCCCTCGATTGATCTTGCATTTGTGCCATTGCACTCTTCATTTCAACAAGTTCTGCCATGATAATACTTAGAAAAGAGAAGATGTCTAATATCGCTCAAGACAAATAAAAGAGAGGACTTGAGAACAAAGAAAATACTAAGGACAATATCAATTCAGAAAAGGGTAATTCGCAACATCTAATATGCTTATATCTTATAAAAAAAAAGAGGTAATCCACTCTTAATTAAAATTAGATAAAGCTCTGATATTATAGGTGTACTCTTGTCAATCTATCAAGGACAAGAACTCGATGAAAGAGCAATTCAGATAAGTGAGCCTTCACTCAAAGAAATGTAACAAAATATAAATAAACAAGTATGTATATTGAAAGAGAAACTGGAATGGCTATTGCCAAAAGACAAAGAAACTAGAGACCCGTGGAACTAGACTGGAAGCAAGAAAGGAGTTGAAAAGAGTGAAGAAGGCTTCACTCTTCTCTCTATATATACTATCTAACTAGGGGCTACGTGGCGACGTTCTATAGGACCTCCAATATATATTGACTTTGTAGGACACATGCCTTGACTTACAAGGCAAGTTTATCTATGTGTTGGCCACATAGTTAGCTTGGTCTTCAAGCTAACAACATGTGTGGCACATGGCCAACTTGTTGACCACATTTCTAATCCAAAAAGTCAATTAAATACACCTATGAAGTCAAAGCAGCATCTAGAAAGCTTCTAAGAAGCTTTTATATCAAATACTATAGAATTAACTTACTTTTATCTACTTTTACTTATTTCTATATATTTGTATATGTAATTATGAATATATCCGTGATACTATCAATGTATACATATTGTTGTAATTGAGACAACAATATAATCATTATTTTTGAATTAAATGATGCATCTTGAGTTGAGAGAATAATATCAATTCTAGCACTTATTACACCATTGTTGTTTGTTTTAGAATATTTTACATCATCTTGTTAATGCCCTTTTTGTCTACAAGCCATACAAATACTTTTAGATTTATCAATCTTAGGATTTTGTTTTTGTTGTAGATGGTGTTTCTTTAAGACTTACTTTCTTCATGTATATATTATTAAAGTAGAAAATAGAGATCTAATCTTCTCCTTCCTTTGCATCTCATCTTAAAAAAAATAGATTCTACTATCTCTTTTGTGATCTCTTCTCTTTCCCTTGATACAATCGATTGAATAAGTAAATCCCAAGATTTGATAATGGAGTTAGTATAAAAAAATGCTATGTTTTATTTGTCCATTTCACCACCAACTTTAATATATTGATTCCTAAGATCAAAAATCTCTCTAAGAAAAATCTCCATAGATTCTCTATTCATATATCAAAGATTATACAATTTTTTTATTAAAATTATCTCAATAATAACTCTTGAGGATTTGTGGATCTTAGCCAATATGTCCCACATTTCTTTTATGGTATTACATTTATGTATATGAGTTAATTGCAAAGGCTCAACATTGAATGCAATCAATGTTTGTTCTTTTGCTTTGCTTGATTTTCATTTTAATTTTTTATCAATATCCATATGACATTTTAATGTCCTATCTACATGTATATTGAGCTTATAAATGCGCATCAAGTATTTCATAATGAATGCCCATGTGACATAATTTTTCTCAACTAATTGATTAATGCGATGATCCATTGAAGATGTCATTGCTAAATAGCAACAAATAACTATAAAGGAGCAATTAACAAATGATCTACAAAATACAATATTTGAAGAGTAATAGCTATATTGGATCAAAAAAACTTGTTTTCACCACTAGCAACAAATGAAATTTAATAAAATAAAAATCAACATCAATAGAATTAAATTCTTGCTCCAACAGTATTCCAACAGCTCTAGCAGCTCTTTGGCGATAGAGCTCTTGCAGCAAGAAAATTGTCTAAGTTTTCATCCACAAAACATCCATTTTTTAATGTAGACTCTGTCTAATGATATTCATTTGTGACACTTTTCATCCAACTTTGGTACCATATTACAAAAATTGGATGTGTTATGAAAGCAAGATGGACATTAGTAATTGCGAACAAAATGTGCAGGAGGCCAAAGGGAGGACACTAAGGGTGTCTTACTAAAGAGTTAGATAATTCACAGCTTTCGGTACATACAGTATGGGATATTCAACAAGTTCAAACTAAGTGTTTGTCCGCAGTTCAAGCTGGTTATGTCATCTTCACTTGATGATTTAGTATGCTACTCTCATGCCTAACACAATTTTCGGTTGCTTAATAGACTCTGCTATCTGTGCAGATTACTGAGCATGAAGCTAGGTAGCAATTCCAGTTTCGGTTTAATCAGTTGATTACGCATCTACTTTTTACGAGCCTCTAAAGCTTGTTTAATGCTTTCATACTTGGAAATTAACTGCAAGAAATCGCCATTGTCATTGACGTAAGAGACACCCATCCGGACTGACAGGAATTGCTTCTCAAAGGAATACCAATTCTCCTTAATTATGTTGGAAATTTATCTCTGGAGATATTTTGGCATTGTGATCCACCATAGACCCCGGAGACTACAATGTTGCCCTTAACTCAATTTATCGAGGGCCTCATGTCGCCTTGCGTTGGCCCTTAGGATATGTCACGGAGAGTTGTAGAAGTCGCTACAAGAGAGAATCATAGCCGACTTCCTGAGCTATTGGTTCAACTCATACTGTTGATGGTCACTTGGGTCATCCGTTTCTGCAGGTATGGCACTCGCACACTCAGCGCTCGTCCTTCGGTGCACAGGACCTGCTTCCTGTTTTGTAAGAAGACTTCAGCGACCTTGTGCATTCCCTTCGCATCAATGCAATCACTGCAGCACCAGGTTTTAGGGTTTAGGGTTTAGGTTTGAATATTACAGTAGTGCCAGTGCAGTTCAGGAAGATCGTTTCGTCCATTTTGTTTCATTCTGTGGGCGATTTGGGATTAGATTCTGCGGGCACAAGGAAGAATTCTGCAGCGGTGTTTATATTCACTTGCGGGTAGCACAAGACACCTTGGTGCATAGTTCTCTAACCTGCATATTCCGGCTTGTCTTTGATTTTGAGGTGCAGAGTTAAAACAGGCCTGGTTGTTGTGCAGTCTCCGTCTGATGGTGTTGCTCGCATGATCAGCTCTTCTACATGTGAGTGTGGGTGACTTTCTTTGTGGAAACATTGATTGTGGTTATTAGGAGATGGGTATCGTTGTGGTGTGCAGAGGGGAACCTGCTTCATTTTTGGGAACCAAGATACTAGCAACTAATTCGCGAGCAGTGAATTAAGTTGGCCACGATCATGCGTCACCCTCCTCATCCTTGATAACAGAGGGTGGTCTCATGCGATGCAATGTTTGATCTTCTTCGGGTGTTCTCGTGTGGGGCTAGGTTTTTTCAATGGGGTAGGTCGATGCCGTTGTAGAGCCCTCCGTGCTTATCTCTGGTGCTGTTAGGATGCTGACATTCCCATTTTGCACGCAGAACCTCGCAAAGAGCTGGCACAGTTTTTCTATCATCATGGTTGACTACTACGTTCTGTCATTAGCTTCGATCGATAGGTTGAATGGTTTGGTAGGTGGTGTTTGGCTGGAGTTAAACAAATCCCTCTGCAAGCACTTGAGTCAGGAGCTGCAAGAACATAAAAAATTCTTGACGAGGAACTCGGTCAAGCTCCGTTTCCGCCGTGATGGGAGCTCCAAGCAGCGCGTGGCAATGCGTAAGCTGTATGCCGTAATTAAGCAAGCCGAAATCTTGGTACAGCAGTGCTGCGGAAGGGACAAATCGGTTGATCCGACATGGCCACACTGGCTGAAGAGAGCACTCACTGTACGAGAAATCAAAGAAGATGTGTTTGATATCATTCTTCACCTTCGGTGGTGGACAGCGATCCTGGAAATCATAATTATTTCAAGCACGGATAAATCTCTTCCTCGAATGGGGAACGAGATCGGGTCGCAGAGCGGATCTTACAGTGAAGAGGAAAGCTTCATACTAGGAGCTTTGAAGTTTGCTGATGAAAAGTTTGAGAGAGATCGGGGTTTGATCAAAAAAGACCTCAAAGATGGAGCTAAAAAGGACAGGGACCATCTAATTATAAAGCTAAAAGATTTTCGAGAATCATTTTCTAGTGAACCTGAAACACATGGCCGCAACTTGTACCTAATCTCAGCGCAGCTACTCTATCTTCTGTCGGACATAGAAGCCCAGACTCAGACGGTCGATCGCGACTCAGATTTGAACAGGTTCAAGATCCTGAGAAACGTAGGACACGGTGGATCTGGAGTTGTAAGCGAAGTAGAATGGTGCGAATATGTATGTGCTCTGAAACAATTCCCGGCGGCGACGTCAACTGCTGACCGACGCGAATCTGAGAGCTTGAGAAGATTCCACCATCCTCACATCGTGAAATTTTTTCATGATTGGGAAGAGTTCCAACATTCTTATATTCTTATGGAGGCAATGCCCACAGATCTTGAGAAGCACATGGCAAATATGAAGAGCAGGAAGTCTGGTCCAAAGAGGAAACATTTGAACTCGTTAGAATCGCCGTTCTCCGTGCCTGTGGCGATTGATATCATGTTGCAGTTGGTGCGCGGTCTTTGTCACATGCACGAGCAAGACGTCATTCACAGAGATATTAAATTGAGAAATGTGCTTGTGAGACAAGTGCGAGAAGATGAGGTTTCAGAGCTCGCTTCTCTGGGTTATTTGCATGTGAAATTAGGAGACTTCGGTCTTGTGAGAGAGGAAATCAAATCATCTTATGAAGGGAAGATTTCATTAAAGGCTGGGACATCCCATTACCGCGCGCCAGAGTTGTCCGATGAGGAATACGTCAATGGGCCGAAGAAATATCCCAAAAAAGCCGACGTGTGGAGCTTCAGCATCATGGCAGCAGAAGTTCTGCGTGGGGAAGAGGCTTTCCCTGGAATTGCATCACTAGGTGGCCTTGTGGGACAACTGGAAGCAGGTCTGAGACCTATTTTACCAGTTGACTGTCCAGGTTATTTGAAGTCGTGTTTGGAGAAGTGCTGGAGGTTCGATTATAAAGATCGACCGAGATTCTCAGAAGTATGGAAGATGCTGAGACTTGCAGAGTTGCAAAGCCTGGGCATCGTGGACTCCATTCCGATGGAAGATCCACAACCACCGGAGAGGATCCCATCAAATGGATCACCAGGATTTTCTATTCAACCAGGGGATGTTCGTCAAGAAATAGCGAAACAATCGATGGAGTGGACCAAGTTATTGAGATACGTATTGAAGCTATTGAAGCTCAAATTCAGTAAGTTTGTGGTTTGATTTGTTTGCTCGTTACAAACTTTGTAATATATGTATGGGGGTTAAGGTTATTTGATATTTTGTAGGCTCTGAAGTTCCTTGATGGTAACCCGACGGAAATACTCACTGTGCAGGATTTGCGAAGGAGGAAGTCCCAGAAGGTATACTACAAGATCTGTGTCTCAATCCATAATCTCTACAAGATCGAGCGAGATTCTCAGAGATTTGTTCCATTTTGTCGGTATATGCTGAGGTTGTTGCAGATCTGCGTCAAAATGGCTTAGAGTATTCAACCGATTTTTCATTCGGGTGCAACTTGACATTGGATTTTCTGTGCAATAGATATTTTCTTCTTTTAGTGTTCTTACATAAGGTTGGGGATGCTCACGCTTGTTCCATGTTAAATGCCTGGGTTAAATTCTGCTTAGACTCATGTACACCAGAAACTTCCGAACCTTGATGTGACCGTCGGATATCTGGGGACTTAGAAGAGTAGGTTATTGCTGACGCTATTATACTATTGTTATTTCTGCAGGCTTGAGCATTC